AAAATTTTATCAGTGGCTAAAATATACCATGATGTACTTTTTAGACATGTAATCAATGGGACATAAGATATTATGTCCCAGGTAATCACAACAGACAGGCCAAGCCACCCTTTACAAAATTCCCCTATCTGTCAGCTCATAATCAAGGCATAGACTACTATTTTTGTATGTGGCCTGTGGTTTTAAAGACCTTTATTTTGTTTCAAGATCTTTCTGAAAGTCATATTGATGTAGTGATGTAATGTTATTACTTGTGATATTTAATAAATATATGTTTTGTTAAATAATTATACCTTGTCATTTTTATTGTTCTATTAATACTGCCTGTCTTTTTGGTATGCAGTTCGGTCAAAATATTAATATAATCCAGGATATTTTTTCCATGCGTTAACAAATATTATTCTTATTTTATATTAAATTCACCCCAGCTGGATTTCTATGAATTTCAACCAGTCCAATCAAACAAAGAGAATACAATGATATAGCAATATTCCTATTATGTACAATAAAAAACAGTTACAATTTTTATTTTAGCAATCTTAATAAAATTGTCAATCCTTCTTTCCCGATCCAGTTCAGTATTTACATGTTAAAAGTTAAATGAGCCGCGTCACGACAAAACCAACATAGTGGTATGGCGACCAGCATGGATCCAGACCAGCCTGCATATCCGCGCAGTCTGATCAGGATCCATGCTGTTCACTTACAAACGGTATAACAAGTAGAGACACTGTTAGCGAACAGATGCGCAGGCTGGTCTGGACCCATGGAGGGGCAAGTGATTCGAAGTCAACGACCTTAACCATTCGGCCACAGACGCCCCTTATTGACTAAAATAAGGTAGTCCTAAGGGTTAGGGTTAGGGTTAGGGTTAGGGTTAGGGTTAGGAATGCAGTCAAATACGAAGATTGATCATTGAACAAAATGGCGGCCATTGATCAAACGTTTTGATTGGTTCATTTTGTCACGTGGATTTTATCTAAATGTATTTGTTGATAAAGATGTTGTGGTTGTTGACTGATTGTATTAATGTTCATTGTGACCAATGATGTTGAAATAATATTGTGTATGTTTTAAAAAAAATCTTAAAAGAAATGGTTCAATGTTTTGTTGTTTATCTTTTCTTGTTACTAAAAATAGATTCCTTTTTTCTGAATTCCCGCGGAAAATGCCACGTGGTTAGATATACATGTATATTCAGTTTGATAAGATCATTTGAAGTTTCCAAGATGGAGACTATTTGTGGCGTTATTTTGTTCAGTGTTGTTGAGCGTGGCATATGAAATGGGATTTTTATATTATAATTATAATTGGATTGTTAATTTATGAGAAGAATGCACTTTAACTTATATGCTGTTTTGTTTGAAATATTTTACATATTGCCAAAATAAGAAAGCAATAATTAAAAATAGAAAACATGGAATGAGAACTCGGAGAAAAATAATGCAGATTATCATTTAGAAAGAGGAATGTTTTAGTGATGTTTGTTATGGTGCAGAGTCAATCGGGTTAGGGTTAGGGTTAGGGTTAGGCCAAATTGTTGGGCCTTGAAAAAAGAAATAAAAGAGAAGCAAAAAGATAAATTGTATAAAGATATTTCGTAATTAATGTTATCGAACTTTCTACCTCTCTAATCCGATGTTCATTAATCTATCCTTTTTTAAACTTTACTGTTGCTGAAAGGTAAAAAGATTGTCCTTATTTTATATATGCAGTGTATGTTGTATTTCTATATCTTGATACGTTGTCAAATTGTTATAATATTTTTTGAAATTCTGGGATTAAATAAGTTTAAAATTTCTGTATCTCTTACATTATATGTATATCACCTATAGCGCTGCTTTGTCGAACAGCTGTTGGCCCAAGTGCAACTACAGTTTAGCAGTTTTGCAATTTTACAAATTTCCGTTTCAATGTAGTGTTGCTTTTTGCTCTTTATTGCATACTTTTCGAATTAAAAACAATGACGGCACTAAAATTATATAAATTTACGCCACAATGATGACCCTAAGCTGTAACTTCTTTTATTTCGCGCAGTGTACGTGCAGTCGTTCAACGTCTGATATAATTTTCTTAACGTGTGTCTGTTTCCCATGCTCATTGAAGCTATTTACTATGCTTAAAAACAGAAAATCTGTTTGTGATCCTTAAATTTGCTATATAACATTCAACGACGTCTTATGCCGTAACTAAAAAATAATTAATATCAGTATTGGATACTGACTCAGTCATTTGAATGGAACCTTTTCGTCAAATGGCCTCTATGTTAACCCTTTTCCTAGCATCATCCGTTAAAAACTTGCAACAATACATAAACATAAATTATTTTCATGAAAAATCAAAACGTTTAATATTAATAAGAAAGAAATATATTTTTATGTGCGTATAATTTCAAATTGTTCATATAATTTTTATGATTGAAATCAATATGAGAAAACTGTAATACTGTTATCCAAACTTTACACGTTAAAGCGTCTTTTAAAAATGGCGACATAATGTAAAAATGAAAAGGTAACATATTGTTACAACCAATCAAATTATCTTTTCTCCGTTCCTACCATGAGAGGTCTTATTGTCGGACACGTCAAGAGGCTGTCCCAGTGTGCAAATGACAGAGAACTGTTACAAATAAAATATTGTTTACTGTAAAACTAATTTATTTTGCGCATCTTAAGTTTTAAAAGCGATCATACAAATTCAATATGATAATCAAGATCAACAAGGAAAGGCGGCGTTCAATGAACACAAGTTTTGTTGCTGTTAAGTTTTCAACAAGGAGAAAAATACATGTATCTTTTATTAATTTGAGATAATTGATTTAATCTTAAACTTTTGCTTTCGAGGGATCAACCTTAATCCATATTTTCTTAACTCTAAAAGTAATTTACGGAAATGCATTATTGCTGTGCAGATACCATTGGATTTAAGACAAACTGAAACAGTTATAGAAGAGACAAATGAATTATGTAGGTGATGCAATATTGCTCTTACCAAAGGTATAAAGTAAACGAAAACAACCTGATGAGCATAAGATTACATTTAAAAAAAATTATTCCCATTCTATTTATGTCATCACTTATATATAAATAAGGATGTTGTTAACATGTATTATTATCCTAAATTTTGAATAAAACCAAAATGTAACTGACTCAAACAGCTAGTGTTGAGACGTTTCATGATTTAAGCATCACTAAATAATAAAACATTCGACTTAAAAGACACTCCTCCACCAAAATTTATTTGCCCATTTATGAACAGTTGGTGAGAGGGTTAAAGCTTAAACCAACTATATGTTCTTTTCGGGGAAATATAAAAAAAGACATCGTCACATGGTTTTGGGTAATGAAAAATATTCTTAAGTTTTAATGTATCGGTGAAACAATCTACTGTATTATACACAACCACATTGTGTGCCCAAATGGCACATGGTAGCCTTTTGAAAAAAATTGATGTATAAAACTACGAATGTCTAGACAAATAACAGCAGTTTTAAAACAATAATGTCGATTACAAACCCGAGTTGTATAATAAAAATTTTCTGAAGTCTGAAAAAACCACTAAATTAAAAGAGAATCATCACTAAAATCTGAAAATAAAACTTTCACAAATCAATAAGGTTGTAATAGAAGTTTCCATTTCGAATTCCTTTGACATTGGATAAAATAGAGGATAACGTATTCCCTAAAGACGCCAAATGGGGTAAAGTGGCAAAATATTCCAGCCTCGATTTGAATGAGCCTTCAAAGACATGATACTGGAAAGTGTAAGCTACCGTGCAAACATGAATATAGGAAAATAAAATTTAGAAACCGTGTATAGCTATTTGAGCGATATTTATAGCCTATTCATATTGAAGTTGAGTGCTTTATCATTATTTTCATACTCATTTTACTTCTCAAATTAAAAAAAACAAAATCCCAAAAGTTGTTTAAAAGCATATTAATAAAATTTGAAAGAGTTTTATAATAAACAATTGTCAATTACACATAGAGAATTTTTCTAATATGTCTTTTAGACATAGTTGAAGATTAAATTGTACAGGGTATGTAAAAAAAGAGCCATTAATTGGACTAGAACTCAGCATATTTACGCTACACTTCACCCCTTTTAGTTTTGTGGTTAAAACATGTGATTACTGTTCACAAAAACACAGACAGTTTATTTCAAAACCCGTTAAAGGATTGAGGTACCTCCAACAGAATGGCAACGGATAAATAGAAACAGTTGTAATGGCATACTTACATTGTTCAAAATAATAATTGATTTTGACAACTAAGGTCCACCTCACTTAAGGCAACACATGACATTACTTGTTTCTGTTATTATAAAGATCTATCGTACTGCTCACAGACATGAAATACACACATCTTAAAACAATCTTTTGACATCCTTGTAATAGTAATGTATATGATTTGAACAACTTAAATCATGTCAAAAATCCTATGGTACATAATAGCGCTGTTACAATGTATTTCTGATGTATGACATTGATCAAACAACACATATTTCGTGTTTTCACGGTTTATTTCATTTCACTATGAAAAATAAAAACATATTTAGCGTTAAACTATGTTGTTTACTTTGCATGGTTTTAATTGGTTTATTATGTGTTTCTTTTCAACAAAATGATAATTTTAAAAAATCATCTTTGAATCTGAAATTCCAAAACACAAGATCCAACAATTTAACTTTACTAAAGGATGGGATCTTCTGGAATGATTATGCAGAGACATTTGTTCCAAAAGGTAAGATTTTAAAAAAGTTTTTTTTAATTTTTTTATTCAGATATTATGACAAGTATTTAATATGAAAAAAAAAACTAATTAAAATAAGAAGGTGGACACTTTTTTTTATATTTCTTAAATAATTGTCGGATATCAAGTTCTTTAGAACTCGACAGTAAAAAATCAATGACAAAGTAAAGAACAGCTTTTGATTTGACTCAAATCTATAAAGTTTATAATATGAAGCATTTTTCCAAATACATAACATGTAACAAACAACGAGAAACGGTTTTTCATTTCCGTTGGACGGTATGGGAAACAGTTAGTAACCCCAAAGCACCGGATTTCGCATAATTCAACATTTAATCATGTTATTAGCCCAATTTGCATTTAAGAAACATTCATGAAAAACGGCGCAAAGTCCCCGAATAAAATTCCTTTAATTTTTAAAAAAAGTCAATGGACGACAAAATTACAGTCAAACGTGTTTTAAGCGACAGCACAAGGGGAACACCAAAAATATGAAAGCGGAGTTGAGGTAACGAAATCTGCATATTAAAGACAAGACGTCAAAAGACAAATTTAAAAAACAGGCAACATATCATCCTCAGGGTGATTATCATAAACAGTATTCAAATAAAGTAGTGAAACTGGAACCATTCTAGTTGAAAAAGGTCAATTTAAAATGCCACTTAACATGTATACATAACAATAACGTTGTGTTAAACGATCTTTAAGAATAAAAAATATTGCATCTTTGATGTATGAGGCGACGTTTAACGAACTACACAGGGCAGAGAAAACAATGATTGTGGCATGGACGACCTTTCAACACCGAAAGCGACAAAATTGAAAATGTTGCAGGCTCGGTTTAATAGAACCTGATCTCAAGTGCATCCTTTTAAATCATTCAGTTTCTTCAGTTTGAAGAATTCTAGTTATACAATGCTAGACGCCATTCAGGCTTTCCGTTTTCCCTTTTACTCCTATCTTCTGAGATATATTTGAAAAGGCGTCACGGCAATAACATTGGAAATTCTGTCTAAAATACAAACATTTTAAACGCATATTATGCAGAGTAGTGGGATAATATGTTACTCAGTGTTGTCGATATATTGATTTTTTTTTGTAAACGGCCACTTATTAACATAGATATTACCATTTTACGCTACACATTTTTTGAAATTTTTTTATAATTTAAAAGGGATGCAACAAGTTGACAGCATAAAATTCATAAAAAAAATATCACATCAACGTGTAGTGAAGGTGATAAATGCAAATCGGTCAGTATGTGGACTTGGAGGCAATGCTATTGTCAAACTTAATGATGGGTCTACAATGTGTGTAAGACATCAGAGAACGGTAGCAAACACAAAGATTTGTGGTAAGTCATAATTATCATAAAGACACATTTACCCATCGCCAATATATTGACAATCAACAAATTTTAGTTGAACTTTATCCCTTTTAATTTCGTGTTAAAATATGAAGGACTTAAATAGTGCAAGAGAAATTTAATGGTAACATTCTAAAATAATTTTAATCAAATGAGGTACCTCGAAGCTGTGACAGCAAATATTAATCTATACATAGTTACAGAGTAAGATTGAGTGACTTTTTTGTGAATGCAACAACTTGTGCACCCCTGGAATATGCTGATTCAATAAGTGATATCTAACTGTATGAGAGTCAATGAACGGACCAGATCACAATTAAAACATAGAACATGAATATAGTTTTGAAATAATTCATAGCCGTTGTGAGTGTAATTCAAAGGCTTGTAATGTTAAATATTCACATTTCATATCAACAAATAAATATGGCTCATGTAGGTGGTTTGCTTTCAACAAGGATTTCAATTTTAAAAATCCTGATTAATAGATTGGTGTAAGACTTAGGCGTCAAACTAAATGGTGCCGCTAAATAATATCTCACTTGGAATTTATGTATAACCATCAGGGTCAAGGTCACAGTCACTGTTATTTAAAAAGAAAGTTTGTTTCCCGTCCATAACTAGGCTTATAAATGATATACTTATTATTTGATTTAAGCCTATTTTATAGCACTCCTTTTTGAAAATCACATCTTGGATTTCTTTTGACCCCCATAAGATCAAGGTCAATGTCACTGTTACTAGAAAATAGTTTTATGTTAATAAATAGAGCAAAAAAGCTTATGTAAAGACATCGCATTGGATTAAAATAAAACAAAATATAAAGTGCATGTATGTTGTTTTATACAGCGGGAATGGTTTACATCGTATGACTTTTACACATTTTACATTGAAATTATTCCTTTCTGCATTTAATATATTTCAGAATCTGTCATTTACAGAAAGGTCACAATTTTAGCTTTTTATCTGTTTAATGTGAATAGTTTCTGTTTGTTTCTTAACCAAATTTACGTGGGTGTGGTCCATATTTTCAAAAAACGAATATGCGTTTAAAACATCCATGAGACAGTAAACTGATAAATAACCGAAATGACAAACTGATAAAAAGCAAATTCGTCATTATAAATATGTTACAACTGCTGCACAACTACATTTATTAATAACAAGAAACACACTATCTGACAAATACGTCAGCAAATCGATTCCTTGGATCATTTAACTTCTGTCACTGTGTGTAGGCGGATGATCGCAAGTTCGAACCCAAGCAGCATTTGGTATATTCTGATTCTTTCGATTTTTTTTTGTTACGAGCTAAAACATTCGTCACATAACATAATAAACATAGTCAGTTTAACTTTAAACTGTATTATTTAATTTAGTTAATATAAGCTACAAACAATTTTAAGGTGTATTTAGCCGGCATTGGGCATTGCTACAATAACAACAAGAAATATAATCAAACAAAAATCCTAGAAATGAGGTATAATCAATGTTTTCATCTTTATTTCTATCAAAGTCGACATTACATTTTCCTTTCTCGTGCATTTAAAGATAATTTGAAGGCTACATTCAGTGGATTTTAGTGATTATTTGTGATTTAATTAAGTTCATAAACTTAACTGGAGGTATTTATCTTTTTTTAATAGCTGAATCCTTTGCTTTCTACTTATCTCGCTTACTTGGCATGGACAATGTTCCAGAGGTAGTGATTTCAAATATATCTTCTCCATTATGGAAAGGAACTGATTTTATCAATCTAGGCTGGCGAGAACATGACTTAGTTGCAATGATCAGGTGGCTCCATCACACAAGGTAAAAATATACTAATGTGTTTTAGGTTTTTATAAATTCACATGAAAAAATTAGCTTTACAGTGATACAATATTGCTGTAACATTTATTACTCGAAGGTTGGTGCAAGGAATTAAAGTTCGGAAATTTCGTTTGCAGAAAAGAACACGAACAATGTAACATTTAACCCAAAATTTCTGTTACCCACTTAAATAATTTGCTATGACATTCTTGTAACTTTTATTACAACTAAAAATGTCATATTACTTATTCCGAATTAATTAAACGATAAAACAGAAAATGTCATTATTTAAACTAACTCAATATTACTGGGCCATGCTTGATACATATATATATTCAACTTGCTTTAAAGTTACAATGACACTACTTCTTAACACGACAGGAATGTTTTAAAGCAGATAACTTAAATGTAGAACCTCACGAAAGACAATTTGGAAAGGCATTGTTACTGAATTGATTGACTGTCCGTCCTTCTTCTTGCTATAATGGTAAATTGTAAACGATTTGCTTGCTACTCTGCATTTTGTAAAGGAAACGAGTCTGCTTGTCTTCAGAAAACAGATGAGCAAAGTAAAATTCTTATTAACATACTTTATTGATTATTGTGAATTCCGTTTTTATTGAACGAACAGGAAAACATTATTACCTTTATAAGCATAAGGTTATTTCATCGCTATGCTAACATTTTTTACAGTCACAAGGTATTTATGCCTTCGGTCATAAGAGATGCTGTTATATCAGGGAAGCCAGTGAACAGTGATGTAATTTATAATACAAATACGCTTAAAAGTAATACTTCCATATCGGAGCTTATTCAGTGGGGCACAATGATAATATTTGACAACTTAATCAAGCATTGTGACAGGTACTCATGTTAACCATAATGATTCTGTATTAATTATCTTTTTATTATGAATTGTTGTTGTATATGTTTACTGACATGCATTTATATTGGCATATAAAGTTCATGAACCCGAAAAATGGCGACCATATTTCATGGATAATTCAAACCATAATTACAGCTCATTTCATAAAAAAAGCAAACAAAAAAATCCCCCACACCTAAAGCACCGGCTTACGCAGAATTCAACAAATTTGAAACATCCGAAGATGTGTTCATATGGCGGTTATCAATAAACCTTGAATGTGTCATTCAGCAAAAGCGTCATATGGCTAAATAAAAAGCATGTGCTCTAAACGATAAAGCATAGAAAACTAAATAAAATGGAATTTTGAAAGAAAATTACAGGTTTTGACGATTGCATATCGCAGATAAGCTGTCAACGGCAAATTTAAAATGCAGGATAAATACCTACGATTAGAAAGTATTTAAATAAGGAATTCTGAAACCACCTGCTATAAAAAAATCACTATATACGAAAGAACTAAAAGTACGAAAAAAGATGCACTCACAACAAAAATGACGTTCAGTAAACCTGGTTGATCACATACTATAAACCCCTTAATAGTTAACAAATAAATAACATATACATTTAAAAAAAATAAAAACAGTTCTCTTAATATTTGCGAAATTTGAATATGTCCCGACACTTCATTACCATATGTTTTGTATATTCATATAAAACCTTAAGATATAATAATGTAGAAAAGAAACTCGTATTGTAGTAGATATATTGTTTAATAAGTTTTATCATTTTATTGACCCATATCACGCACAAAAACATCATACACAATATCCAAAACATTTTTCGGAGAAAAGGTAACACTGATTGATAAAAAAAATAATATTTCTAAAAGCAAACTATGCAAGTGATAAGCTTTTATTACAACTTTCATATATATTGTAGGTCTGTTTTCTTATTATACTTTCTTAGACTAAATTCTAAACTTTGAAGAGAAATATTTGTGAAAGAAATTGAAATACTTGATTATATTCGTATATTCGTTTTTTTTCTTCATTTCAAGGTTGAAGAAATACAGAATTGGCGTTGGAAACCGATTACTTAATAGAGTTGCACATAATACCCTTATGTCATCGAATGGCAAAATATGGTTAATTGATAATGAATCTGCATTTTTTCATAACGATCCTCAAAGTTATTACACTTCATTAAATAGAAAAATGCTTAGAACTCTATGTATTTTTGAAAAGTTTCTTGTTACAAACTTAATAAAACTTTCAAAACACCCGTCAGCTTTCCATCATGTATGGAAATATGCCATTACATTCGAACCATCATTAGTTACTTTTGAGAAAAACATTAATTTCAATCTATCCGCTATATCATTCAACAATCGACTAGATGAAACAATTGAGTGGATAAATCGCTGCAAGTTATCGAGCACACTGAAGTGATGTTATGCAGGCATGGAGATATTTGAATAAATGTAGTACCATTTTAGAAGCTTCGAATTTGGTTTGATTTCATTTTGTTTAGCAACTTCACAAGCATGTATCACTTGGCATTATAAATATGGGTTGGAAAACAAGCTTAATGATCTGGAGAAAGATCTGGAAGCATTTTTTACAATTAAATTATAGGAAAATTGCAGACTCGGTTTGACTGAGTTTGTAACATTTATGTTAAATCATTCAGATTGATAGATTTTTGTAACCAATGTCTTACAATATATGATCAGTGTTTTTTCATATATCAATATCCATTTTGGTTAAAATTTCAAATATTATTTTTATTAATTCATTATGCCTTATCTTAAAAAAAGGATTATAGTAACAGATATTTCATTATGTTGCTATGGGTATATGATAATGATAAAAGATAAAATAGTCAGGAAGTAAGGAATCGAAAAGCTTGATGCATCAATGAACATGTTCTCTCAAAGTTTGTATTTAATTCATTTGTAATTTGATTTAGTTTGTACTGTATCAATTTGCCACTACTTCCGAATATAAAGTTATTTACGATAGATGCGCATGATGGGTTCTTAAAAGGTACTTGCGTATGGTGTTATGCATATGACCATTTAAAAGAAAGTAAGTTAATAGCACAACATGTACACAAAGAATAAAATGAATTTCTATTGTCACTGCGGAAAATAAACTTATTAACTGAAATATACCATTTGATTATTTGATTATACGTTGTGATTGAGAACTATATATTCAGTTACATATTATTAGGATTATTTTATTATTATTATTATCATAATTATCATTATCATTATTATTATTGAATTGAATTATTTGAAGTAATAAAGCAAAACAAAATCAACTCACTTTCAAGCAAAACCTTTTAATTCATTCATAAACATATAATTAATAGATATACAAAATGAAAATGTCTACGCTACAACATTTACTGTCATACGTTAAATGCAAGCCTGACACTAAAGGGACAATCTAAGAGGTGCAGCAATAAACCGGTCTGTTGTGATGCAGACGTACTGCAGCACAGAACCTATGTTTCGCGGAATTTCCTTTTATGGTCAAAATATATATTTATATGTTTCGACATTTTCTAGCCACCGCCACTGCGAAAAATATACTGATATACGGGAATATACGGTCCCGTATTTTTGACATATACGGGCGTGTACGGGATGTATTCGTCGAATATACGGACCAAGTATACGAGTCCGTATAGGGAACACCGGGTATACGGGAAGTCCGTATATGCATCAGGCATATACGGAATTCCGTATTTGCCCCATATACATGTACGTATATTTGTTCGTACTTCTGAAGTATACGGAGAATTTAATCCCGTATACGGACTATATCAAGGTTGTTATCTCTAGTATACTATAAATATACCAAGGATATACGGGACCGTATTTTCTGCATATACAGAGGATATACGGACCCGTATTTTCTACGTATACAGAGGATATACGGAACCGTATATTCTACATATACATAGGATATACGGAATCGTATTTTCTACATATACAGGGGATATACGGAATCGTATTTTCAATATATACAGGGGATATACGGAATTTTTTAGTTGTCCACAGGGAATACAGAACTATATTTTCTTGATAAAAGAAGATACAGATAATATCAAAAGCATGCATTTACATATAAGTGACACGTATGCATGACCGAAATGCAGACTTGTACAATAGAACATGTTTTATTACACATTTTGAATGGGAACTGTAAAGTCATATGCTTAAGAATTTTATCTTCACAATTGGAGTATTTAAAATGATAAAGTAAAAACCAAATCGAGTCACTCTTAAATATTTATTATTTCATAAGCATATATTCAATATGTATACATATATTAAACAAAATATACATGTCTTCGCTACAACAGTCATATATTGTTGCAAACCTTATTCCAGAGGGACAAATTAATGTAGCGTTGCAACGGAACGGCGATATACCGTTATGTTGCGATACAGAGTCATGAAATACGTATCACGGTGGAGAAAATCCGCACTGCGATATTTTCTTTAGAGATCGAATTATACATGTACAGTTTTCGATATTTTCAAGCCGTAACCTTTATGAATTGCATGTTGTTTAAATCTAGAAACAACTATACAGTATACCAACTTGAAGTTCTTTTCTATTTATCTTAACAATGATTTTTATGAGCCATTTGTATTACACCAGTCCTATAAAACATTTTAAAGATATTCATATCATTTGTTCGTGTTAACATTCACATATTATTTTAGGAAAATGAGTCCATAGCACAAATTGATTATTACAGAAAGTTTTATTAATAATCATTAAAACTAAAAATTCCGTATTCACAGAAATTCGTCATTCAGACACAGTTCTTAAAAGCACTTAAATACATGTATATCAATCATCTATAGGAATGTTACGTAGACCAGTGTGACGGTGTCTATTTCGTGACGTAGGAAATGTTATCTCCAGATATTACAATCTTCTTCGGCATGTGTGTATCTGAAAAAGAGAGTTTAAAATCTTGTTTAAAAAATGTCTTTAAATAGTTATCACAACTTTCAAAAAGACTATACACAAGCAGTTTTTAAGCGTATACATATATACATTTTTTTTCTTACGCAAATTTCAAAATTATTTTATATTATCAGGATAAAGATGTCATTTATAAGCAACCATTCACACAGGATTTAAATGAAATGATTAATCTATGACGGATGATAGGTTATATGTTTTTGTTATAAAACCTTTACGAATATATTTATTTCACAGTCCTGTAATATAAATGATAATGGTATCTTTGTTCTATGTAAAGAGTGTTTTATTGATAAAAAATATATTAATACAAAATAACATTGTATAACAAAAGTGCTGACATAATATTTTTGATCGTTTTACGATGTATATAAGCATCGTTAGTAGGAGTCAATTCGTTTGAAAAAAAGCTTAAAAAGTACAGACATTTGCTACTCAGATGTAGATCCGTGTTTGCACAATGATATCCAGTTAAGTAAAAGGCGGAATACCCAGCTATACTTTTCATTTGTATAAAAACGTTAATCTTAACAAACTTGGATTATTGTTTGTTTCAATTTCAATTGTTTCAAAAACTATCTCGGCAACGAATGAATACCTTCAATATACAATAGTGTAGATTAATATTTTTTTATTGTTAAGACTTTTTAACAAGGTAAGTTGACAATAGAATCTCTTACAGTGTGCTATCTCTAAAAATAAAGTGATTAATCTCACAAAATATAAATCAAAATATCCTCCCTTGCCTATAACATTTATCTGATATTATGAAATCAAATTCAGATAATAAAATATACGTATCATATGTGACAATTGCATTAAAATAACATAGGAAACAGTTTAGTTAATACATGCGAATTCGACTATTACGTGCGCACGTGAAACATTTACGTATCGACGCAATATGTTTTACGTGCGCACAAGTACTGTGCGTTTAGTATAATAATTAAGTGTCGAGGTGGTCAAGTCCACTATCCATGTGTAAAACAGCTATCATATTGTGTTTATTATCTTCAAACAGGCTAGCTATATAAATTAAATTATCAACAAATTTGCCAACTCTCAGCGTAATGCAGTAAGTAAGGTTGTGGTAAATATCAATTCAAGACAGCTAGGCTCGGATTGCACCTTTTTCCCAAAAATATTGCTTTATAATTATCAATCAGGTAAGAAAGTTTTGTATCATTTATTGTAAAGATTATAAATGCTGTGATATTTTCTATTAACGTCTCATTTTGTTTTAAATGTAGCTATATTTAGCCCTATTTAGCAAGTTGGTGCAAACTTATACGGAATGCATGATACTGTACACAGACTGTTTCAACTATAGTTAAGTTTGCACGAAATACTATTGCACTGCAAAAGTACTATGACTACTACATACTACATACTATACAGGATAAAAATCACTATCATCCGTGCATGTATATCTAAATTATTAAATATCATAATAAAACTGCCTTTCTATCCCAATTCATTTTTCTAATGTAAAATTAAAAAAAATATATGGAAAGACAAACGCAAAAAAGTAAGACAACTTGTGAGGCTCGAACTTGTGATAAAATTTAATGATAGATAGAGAGATAGATAGTTTATTCATATAAGCCGTGTACAAAATGCACATGGTCACACAATACATACATTCAAATATAATTAAACATCACGTAATCATCAAAGTTAACATTATTTAGTAGCAAAGTGTCATACAATGATAAAACTACATCTTTGGACTGCATTAACAAAACATGGAGAATGAAAAGAAATAAAGTAATATTACTAACAAGATAACATTTTTATAATTATGTCTGAAGATTCGGTTGATTTAATTCCCTGCGTTTAAATGCTTGTGCTATAAAATTTCCCAAATTTAACAAGACTTTTTTCGTTTTAGAACTTAATAAATCAATAAATTTGTACATGCTCGGATTTTTCACATAATATTTTGGTATGAATTTGCTTCTCAGGTCAGAATATTTTTTGCATGTGATTATAAAATGAAATTCATCTTCTATGTCATTACCGCAGAAATAACATAATCTTTCATTTCTTGGTTTTCGATTACGCCCATGTCTAAGAGATTCTATAAATAAATTATGCGACGACACGCGCAATCTAGTTATGCTATTACGTATTTTAAACGAATTTATTTTAATCAAGTAATCCGACATACCAAAGCTCGGTTTTAAATGTATGTACAAGGATTTCAGTATTTCATTTTTCTCAATATCTCCAAATAGTTTCTGTAAGGCACAATCCGTTACTGTTTTCTTGAACAAATTTACAAATAATTTGAAATTTATGTTTTCATGATTTACAAAAACAGAGCTAAATCCATAATCATCAAGCAGTTTTTTAACATGGAAAACCCAATTCTTTCTACCATTATAATACTGCGCCAATGAATGTGCATAAACTGATTTTAATAGCATATTATCCGTATTGATAATCTTGACCCAGTATTTAATAATATGTACAAAACGAAATACATATAAAGGATAGCGACCCAATTCTGCATATATAGCTGCGTTACTTGTCGATTGTTTTACACCAAGGATTGTTTTGCAAAACTGTAGATGAATACGCTCTAATTCACAAGACTTAGTAAACCCCCAAATAGGACAACCATAATTTAATATCGATCCTACGAATGCATCAAAAAGTTGCAATGAAATATCCGGACGAATGTTATATCTTTTGATATTATTTAACAATGTGTGCATCGCCCTAAGTGCTTTGCCTTTTAGACATTTTATATTTAAAGCGAAAGTACCAGTGTAATTCAACGTTATTCCCAAATAATTAAAATCATCAACAATTTCTAACTGTTCATCATTATAAATGAAATGTTCATTTCTTTTAACTGGCCCTCGTTTCCTAAAAACAACAACTTTGGTTTTTGCAGTGTTTACCTCTAACCCCCATTTTTCACAATATTCGCGTAAAGAATTCAGTCTCGATTGTAAATCTTCTACAGAATCGCCACATATTACCATATCATCCGCAAATAACAAAATTACAAGACAAATTTCGTTAATGGTTAGGCCAGTTGTATTATCTTGCTGCAAAAACGATTCGATGTCTTCAATAAATAAGGAAAAAATGTCGGCGAATTTGTCTGCCCCTGACGTAAGCCCTCCGCGATTTCAACAAAATCAGAAAATTCATTATTAAATTTTATACTAGACTTTACAATATTGTACATGTTTCTAAACATTGTTAAAATTTTACCATTTAATCCTTTTTTGTACAGTTTAAACCACAACGCGTCACGGTTCACTGAATCAAATGCTTTTTTCAGATCAACGA